CAACAACAACAACAGCAACAACAACCACAACAGCAACCATTACCACAACCACAGCCACAACCACAACCGCAACCGCAACCTCAACCACAACCACAACAACACTAGCACTAACACCAACACCAACACCACACCAACACCACCACCACCACCACCACCACCACCACCACCACCACCACCACCACCACCACCACCACCACCACCACCACCACCACCACCACCACCACCACCACCACCACCACCACCACCACCACCACCACCACCACCACCACCACCACCACCACCACCACCAACAACAACAACAACAACAACAACAACAACAACAACAACAACAACAAAGCAAAAGCAACAGCAACAGCAACAGCAACAGCAACAGCAACAGCAACAGCAACAGCAACAACAACAAAACCACCAACAACAGCAACAATAACAACAACGACAACGACAACGACAGCAACAGCGACAGCGACAGCACAACCATCACCACCACCATCACCACCAACACCAAAACCTACACCCACAACAACAGCAACAGCAACACTTTCAACACCAAAGACAATGGCAACAGCAACAGCAACGGCAACAGCAGAAGCAACAGCAAAACCACCACCACCAACAACAACAACACCAACACCACCAGCAACAGCAACTGCAGCAACTGCAGCAACAACAACAGCAACTCTGCTACCACCATTTTGATATCTCCACAGTTATGAAGAAGAAGGTAACAGTCCAATTTCTACAAGTAGTCATGCCAAGGACACTTACCGTCCACGAACACAGTTTCACAAGAATCGCTCAGGTGCAGGCCCGAGGTTCCATCGGAGGATACGGATCCTGCGCTGGGAAGCTTTCCAGGACATGGGGCAAGGGTCTCTTGGTGCAAGCTTGTGATGTATTAGTCAAATTATGCTGGGAACAGAAGGGGATCCAAGTCTGGCTATTCAGACCTCTATGGTGGGACGTCGGGCCTTGGGCGCTGTGGGAGTTTCGGGTGCGAGGGTTTCATGCTGCAGGATGATTTCGATTTCAGGCTGAGGGTCGGCTTGCCGCCCAAGGCAGGAAGTAGCGCAGCCGAACATGCCAAACTCAAAGACACACTCACCTGAGATCGGACATAAGACACTGAACCAAACCTGACGAATCAGTCTCACGCTACACCTGCTTTAAAAGTCTAACCTCGCGTCAACAAAAACCAGCTCAACATATTCTTCAGCCCTGGGCTTCTGGAATCCTAACCCCGAAGTTTGAACTCTGCACCGTAACTTCAATGCCCTACAGCCCTCAAGCCCTAAACCCAAGCTCCGCCAACCCAAACTCGCAAAACCCGGCACCCGAAGCCCTAAACATCCCTAAACCCTAAACCGGAAGCTGCCCGAAGCACAAACTCCCCCCAAACCCACACCCAGCCCTCGCGCAGGACACGAGGCCTCGAACCTCGGGTCTCGTCCACCATGCACCTCTCGGAACTACTTTTCTTTCAGTTTATGGGCCCTGTTGGCTGAGGGCGTTGCGGTTCTTTTGGGTTTCTGCCTGTTGGTTTCAGCGACATTTTTTTGGTTGGGGTGGCTTAGTTTAAGGGCCTCGTTGCTTTTTGGGCTGGGGGTATTCTAGCTCAAGGATTTGAAAGCCCTTTTTGATTTTTGGCATAGGGTGCTTTAGTTCAAGGGCCCTTGTTGATTTTAGGATGTTTTGGTTTAAGGGCCCGGTGCAGGGTTTTCGAAGTTCGAGAGGGAGCCATAACTGACAATGACGACCACCACAACACTTAAGGTAGAAGCCCCAATAATTTCAGAGGCCTGGATTGTTACTTGTGTCTTGTAATAGAAAACCTTGAGGAAGAATCCAGAGACCAGTGCTCACCTCAGGCCGCACCATTTGTTGGGGTATACACTGCAAACCCCAAGCCCGAGGCCTGCTCATTGGCCACTAGACAATGAACCCATTTCAAAACTCTGACATAAATCCCAATCACAACACCGGTGCCCCAGCTCCCTGAACCCTCTGTGCCAAGGGGCCATGCCACGCTCCATCGGCATGGGGTCCGCCCGCATGGGTGGCCGCCCTTCGGCAACCCAACACGAATTCCGAGTTCAGGGTTTTGGTTTAGGGTCCTGCAGTTTAGGGGGGTCGGGCTCGGGGACGGATGCTTAATGAGTGAACTGTAATGTAAGATCGAGCTGGGCAGAAACGCCTTCTGCGCAGGTGAAACTGGGCATGCAGCAGCTCATGAACCATCCCCTCCCAGGTCTTAACCGGGCTTGAGGGTTTTTTGGGGCACCATGGCCTCCGCGGCCCATTGACGGAGACCAGTTCGGCGCTTCCCTGGTGATGGCAATGACAATTTTGGGCAGACTGAGGGTTTAAGGGCTGGGATGGATGCAGGGTGTAGAGTTTTCGGGTTTGGGGTTGTAGGCTGTTTACTCTAGACTCTAGATCAGGCTGGGCCACCTCTTGGAAGAAGAGGTGTTCAAGCCGATCCAGGTTTGGAAGTAGGGATGAGGGGGTGCGGGTGCGCGACAAGTTCAACGTTCGGGTTGAGGCACCTTGGTTTTGATCTTCAAATCCACACCAGCCTCCGCACCAAATGCAGCTAGCATCCCGAAGCATCACGCAAGCAGGTTCGGCAACCCAGAGCCAGTCACCCTAAAGTTAAGCTGAAAACTCTCGGCCCTAAATCCCCAGAACCCCGCTAGGCTTTAGACTCAGACCCCCTTTCAAACTTGCCAGGCTGTTCCTCACTACAGAACAAAGGAAAAACTGGCCAGCCACGACAGCCCTACGTCACCCAGAAGGGAGCCGCAAGAGCAATCCCTGAACTGCGACGCATTCCTGGCTTTTGTGCTCAAGTCCGGCAGTTTAGGGTTCGGGGTTCAGTGAAACTCAGGCCCTGAACCCGAACACCCTCAACCGCGAATCCCTTAAACTCCAAACGTTCGAGACGTAAACCCCAAAAACCCCGAACCCGAAATCCTCCACAGTTCCAAATACTGTGCCGGCCTCTGACCTATCTTGGAGGAGGGCCAGCTCTGTGGCCCTTGGCCTCGGGAAAACCTTCGGAGGTACGTCTACAGCTGCTTTAGCCGACTTACGACTACACCTACAAGGAAAATGTTTTTGCTAACTCTGAGTGTACTAGTGGGTACTTTGGACTTAGGATTGTATTGAAGATGTAAATTTAAGTCTTCATTCTATAGATGGGCTTGGCGATACTTACGACTTTAGGGGTTTGCATGGGCCAGCTGCTTAGCCCCGCTTCAATGGCGAGGAGCTTGCAGATTTCGGCAAAACCTTTCGGGTGCATACCTTCTTGCAGTTTGCACCGAATCGTGGGAAGCCCGAGGCCGAAGAAGCAGAAAAGGACTGCGTGCTCAGCATAAGGTCTGAGAAAGCTTATTCCAAGCTTAGTTTAGTAGAGGATTAAGCAACGAGACACCCTGACTGAACTCAAAAGAATGCATCCAGATGAGGTGGGCGGACCTGATCAAGCTAAATTGCCAGGAAAGCGCTAGAGGACATAAGTTCTTGTAAACACCCCTAGAGGTATCTTAACAGCAAGCCATGATACGAAGGAGGGTACGAAGGAGGGCAGAAAGGGACCACGGGTGAGACGAACTCGCCGCATTCGAACAACAAGCAGCAAGACGCATGCTGACAGAAATCAAACACAAAACTGACGAAACAGAAGCTCTCTTGCTGATGCCGCCTCTTTGTGGAAGTTGGACGCGGCTCTAATGCTTCTTGGTATGTGTAGGCCACATTGCTGGATAAATTGGCGGCAGAAACAAGCGTGCCGTCCCAGCATTGCAAGAGCCCCGCAGCAGCAAAGGAAGGCTGTTGCACGCAATGGAGCGCTGTCAGGCCACCCGCCACATCTGCACTGGCTTCATGCGACTGTCAAGACATGCTGGAACGGTGCTGGTCGAGGCGAGCATAGGCTTGCGGTCGAAACCATCTCATAGTTCACTGAACACCCAGCCATGACTTCCAGAAACATCGCTGGGGACTCATCATTTTTATGCTTGAACCTTACATTGGTTGTGCTCCTCGGATTCTTCAGAAATGGTACTGTCGCCTTCCTATACCGGCATGGAATCAGAATCCGTCTGCAACTCCATGCCTGGAGGACACCCTCACGTCCCCAGACCTCTCAGGCCACTTACAGCAACTGCCTAACACTGACAAATGCAGAACCCCGACACATCCCCAAGATTTAAGGAACAAGTGACATATCTGACCACACAAGTGGCACCGCGCAACAAAACGGTCAAACCTCGAAGCCCCTTACCGCCCGCTACGCTTCACCCCTCCAGCATCACCGGTAAAATCTTGACAAACGCTCGGAGCGAAACAATGCTTCCCCTCTCAGCAGCTCTGGGAAGCCGTGCTCTGGATCTAGTGCTGTGTCCACGTGCATCTGGCTCAAGAAGTCCTGGGAACCATCAATTCATGCGGCGAGGCTTCGTCTAAGCAGGGTCTCATGCAGCGTCCATTTCGACGGTTTAGAAGGTTCTGTCTACTCGGTTTGGGGACTTAAGGAACACGTCCTTGTTTCAAACTCTGTCGTTTTGGTACGTAGCAATTCCTGCTACCATGAGGGCGTGGTCCTGGTCGACGCCAGGTTCAGTCCATTAGCTTAATTAAAATGGCTAAGCTGCCCGGGTTAGACGGGCTGGGCCTAGTACCAAGACGACGACTACGTGTACAGCTAGTGCTACGTACGACGAACAAGACTGGGAAAACGATGACTGTAAAGAACAGCTGCGATTCCGGACATTGATCTCGTCATATTCCGTTGGGATCAGATGAGATTCTCATCTGATCCCAACGGAATATGACCCGAACTTCAAAAGGCATCCACACCTGGAAGCATGAAACCATGTCAATGTGGGATTCCTCATTTTTCCGATCTGAACTGACCGTCCGGACGATTCTGGTCGAAGAGGCCCCGACGCGCTTCTGTCTTCGGACTTCGTCGTCGGGAAGGCGGCTTTGGAAGTGAGCCTGGTCGACGTCCAAAGGTTTGCTTAAGGCTGAGGATTCTGCGGTTTAAGGTTGTACCAGGACAGTTATGACGGGGCTTGGGGATGCGGGTTCCGGGTATGGGATTCAAGGCTTTTTTTGCATATCCACACTGCCACCCATGGGCTCTGGCAATACTTGGCTAAAGAAAACCGGTTGAACAGACTCAAAGCAAACTTGCGTAGTATGACAGTGACACCCGGGAATTACACCAATCACAAACATAAACGATGATTTAATGCTGGTCATCGTAGTATTCAGTGCCATTCTCCGTAAGTTTGGATGCAATGTTTTGGGTCTTGTTCGTAAGAGCGCCGCGCTCTGTTGGGGACCACGCTGCTCGAAAACTTGGAACGCTGGTCTTGGATCCGACTACCCTCAGTTCTTAAGCTTGAAGGCGACGAGCATAAATTTCCGTGCATCGGGTGCTGTCCATGCGGTACATCGTGGTACACGGAAACTCCTGAACCTTAAGGCCTGCAGGATCTGCTTTTCGGGGTTTTGGCCTGGGGTACCCGAAGGTCGGAAGCCTGAGCAGAACAATCGCTCTGTTGCTCCTCTACGACACGATGCTAGCCATGCACACCTGCATGGACGATTCCTATGTATCCATCACACAGCCAGGACAGAATACTAGCTTGGCACCTAGTACACTCTGCATTGGCCTGGCTGGCAGCATAGTCGATGAAGTTCACGCCGTCTCAGCAAGGATCGCATGGGAATTCTCTCTCCTTGCCTTTGAACAGAAGGGCCTGAAGACTTCACACGCCTAACGATATAATCAGAGGGTCTGGGGGTTGTAGAGCTGTTGGGTTTGGGAACTGATCTCCCACCACATCCACAAGCGGGAGACAGAAGTTCCCATGAGTTCTGATATAGGATTGTAAGAAGCAGCAACCACCACAATGAGAAGACACAACAAGGCGTTCGAGTTCAAGTAAGACGGAGTTCTAGCAGTAAAGCATATAAACAATGCTAGTAATCACTCACCCACAGCTCTAGTCTGAGGGCTCGGCTGAAGTCCGTCGTCCAACTTCTCCGGATAGCCAGCGCGCGACGCGCATTGAGCTCCTCTTCCCACGCCCCGAGTTTACAGGTCCAGGGTTTCATAGCAAGGTCCTGGGTTCCCAACAGCCCTCGAATGTTAGGGAACCACCGCCGCTGTGCACACCCTTAAAGAGCCCTATGCTGTAGCGTTGTGTTGTTGCCGTCTTTGCCCTCCAGACAAACCCAGCAGGCTCGGGGAGCAGGTGTTCGGATTTCAATTTGAGGTGAAGGATTTCGCGTCCCTTCATCTAGGAGCGTCTTGGGGAGTGGGAGGACGCGCCCCGAATTTCTGCTCAGGTTTGCGTTGTTTTGTTTACAGGAAAATTCTACCTATGCCTGGAATAAGACACAGCAAGCTCAACTTCCTACCCATTCGCCTCGGAACCAAGAAGCACAGACCAGATACGATAAAACCGCATAGCAGGTCGAAAGACCGGCACAGCTTTCGGAACATCCCTGAACCGGCAAACCGACGGCTGAGGGTTTAGCATCCAGGAAAGCTGAACAAACTGAAAAATGAGCCCTGAATCCTGCAAGCTTGTGCCCTGAAAACACTACAGGGGCCCTTGTGGTACGTCCCTATACTCAAACGAACAAGCACGCAAACAACTCAACAAACATATATAAGTGTATACGCATATGTATATATGTCTGCGTCATATCCTTTCTCGCTACATCCAAAAACATGTTGCCGGGCAGAAGACAGCAGAAGCAACAACAACTTGTTTAGAAGGTCGTCCTCAATCCCCAGGTCCGTGAGGGTGTTGCTCCTGCTTCAGCAAAAGCTTGAGCATTTGGGGCTTAGGATTGCGGGTTTCGCGGGCAGGGTTGTGGCAACGGATTGGAGGCCTTTCAGCTTTACGATTGGATTCAGCCTTCAAGGTCTCGGCTTGGCTTGAATTTCTTTGAATTCCAGATGCAGCTTTTCGGTTTCAATTTTTAACTCGTGTAGGTATTGACGTTAGGGGCCGGGACAAACATAGAACGGGAGCTGTCAGGCATGAATGCCCCTCTTGCCTCGTCTGAGGCTCTTTTCTGGGCGGTTTCTGCTCGGCCTTTTTCGTTGTGTTTCATCGTGCTTCATTGGTGTCATGGTTGGAGATTCTCAGGTGTGCGGTGTTTCAGTTGGTTTGTGGGTGCTTTCGGCTCTTAGGGCTTGAGGCTGAAGGCTTCGCTTAAGGGCAGTTGGAGTGCTCGGGCGGCGGGGTGCAGAAAACAGGGCGCTTAGGGTAGCATCAGGCGCTCAGACAGGCTCCACGCCCGATCCACAAAATCTTTGCCCGACCCGCTGACGCAAAACTATGAACCCAACACCATGAAAACCCTAAACACCCTGAAACCCCAAAGTAAGTTCAAAAATCTCTAAGGCCCTGAGGCACACCAGGGCACGCCTGAGCATCCTGTCAAAAAGCAGGCCATCGATCTGCCTCTTCTGGATCTGCTCCTGGCGGGTTGCTCTTCATTTGCTCTTCTTTTCAGGGGGTTATGCTACCGGTCCATAAGTGTTATGGGTTGAACAACAAGGTTGAACAACAAGGCCCTCGAATCCTAGACCCGAACTGGGTCCTTTACAAAATAACCCTTGTAATCACTCTCCCAAACCCGGCCTCAAATTCACAACCCCGAGTCCTGAATCCCAACCGAGGAATCCCAAGCAGCAAGCCAGGACCAAAACCCTATATGAAGCCCTAAACTGCCACCTCCAACCTTGCTCTTTGCCCTAGTGGCGTCATTGCCTGGAGTTCGCGCAGAATGCGGCCTTTGACCCCACCTTAGTCGGCTGGTATCAGCTAAGCAGCTGTGCTAGGTTTGCTTGATGGGTCCAAACATGTTGGTAGGGGATAAGCCGCATGTTGAGATGTACAGGAGAGGTGTCTCGTAGGGCACTGCAAACTTGCAGAGAGTCTCACAAACAAAAATCTGCAGGGGTCTAGTGTAGGCTGGAGCCGGCTGAAGCCCTAAATCCCTGAAGTCACACGGCCCCAACAGCTTCCCCGAAGGCCATGGCAAGCTCCTGTCCCGAAGGCCGAGCACACCTTTTATTTTTTACCTTGTCTTAATGGTAATTAATACCAACAGTAACCATAATACTGGTAGCAATACTAATGGTTATAATAATGATAATAGAAATACTAATAATCATAGTGGTACTATTACCAAAAATAACAATAATGATAATGGACTTTGTATCCTTCATACCACTTCTGAGCCCGAAACCACTGAGGATCCAACACTCTGCTCCTATCTAAAACGGGCCTGTGCAACTTTCGTAAATCCTGAAACATCATTCGACTAAACGCTCGGACAGGTCGACCTGCTAAATCTCGTAAAGTTTAATCAGGAAGGGAGGTCTTTGTATTGAAATGACTTCATTTAAGTGGCTTTGGTCTAATGTTTGGGGCGTTTAGGGGGGTTGGCCCGTCAGACCGCCGCAAGCTCGAGTCTCGAGAAGCTCAGGGCGCGGAGTACTGGGTGAAGTCTCAAGTTCGGATTTCGGGCAACTGTGCAGGGTACTTTAGGCTTTAGGCGTTTGGGGGATCTGGGGGTTGGGCTTCGGGATTTAGTGTTTAGGTATCAGGTGATAGAATTGCATCACGCTGAGCTGCCCGCAGAGTGCTAAGGAGTTACACCATTGCGCGGTCTCCTCAAGTTAGGGGTGCTATGCATCACATTGCAGCAGTAATGGCAACGTGGATCGAAATAGGAGGGGCTGCACGGCAGGAGGCTCTAGTATGCTTCGGGCTTACATAATTGCTGGATCCAGGGTCCCACGTGCCCCAAACTGGCGACCCTAAAGAGGGATTTGGCTTCTGGAGCGGGCTTTCGGAGCCAGGGCTCTTGTGTCTCAGGGCTTCACATGACTTCTGGGCCTCAGTCAGGAGATGCGCTACCGGTTTCGGCCGTGGCGAGAAGCATAAACCTGTGCAGCAAGAAAACGTGAGTCTAACAGTTCCTAACAGTCCCTGCCTCAGGCAACTTGAGCACCATCGTATGTAATGTAAAACAGTCCGAACTGAAAACGATCCTAGACTCAACACCGACAGCTTTGCATGACTTGAGGCTTGTGCCCTGCACCTCTGAAGACCTACAGTTTACATGTGTATGTCAGACCTTGGGGACTTTGGGGGAAGCACCAATGCCGCGGAAACCATCTGCCATCCTCCCTTTCCCTTCAACTTCGAGGGCCTGAGATCTTTACTGAAATCCGTTTGAGGCTGCAGGCTGGGAGTTTATGGGTATGGCGTCGACTGTCACCCCAACCGCTGGAGCTTGAGAGCGCAGACTTCGAAACGTTTAGGGTTCAGTTTAAACCTTAGTCATACGATGGTTATATAGGGACGGACCTTATGGCATGCTATCGCTAATTATTCTGAAGCCTCTATTGAATTCGGTGCCCCAGCAGAACGAGTCCTGTGGAGACATCGTGCGGACCTCAGGCACTCAAAGATTTCGTACTCCGGGTGTTTCATTGCTATGACCTGCACACTCAAAGCCACCCCCCGTTCTGGAAAACGCAGACGTGAGAGCATAAACCTCGCGCATGCTAGTTCGAAGAATCACCACGAAGTTGACCGAGCAAGTTGCGGGAGCTCCGAGGTTGAGCCGGGCTTTGGGTTGTCCAGGGTGTAGGGCCGGGGCCCACGATCCCTTCTCTCTTGAAGTGCAGCAAGTATTCCAGCTAGCTTAGTAGGGGGAGATTCAACCAGGGTTTGGCGCCTCAGGGTACTGATGGTAAATCCCCACGAAGCGCCTCAAAGTAAAGTGCCAGCCGAGCTGATGGGCCTTAAACATCCTCAAACACGACACCCGAAGCCGGGGGAGGCTGTTACGCCCGGAAGCCTGCCCTTGTCTGTCTCGGAACTGGGCAAACTCCACTGGCTTCGAACCTCACCCAGGCCCGAAAATGCAAAACGGACCCAAGCTCCGTCCACACCCGAAACCCCGGAAAAGCAACAAACAACGAACAAACCAATCCGAGAAACCCTAAGCAAACCCCAAGCCTTGAGACCCTAAGCAGACTCTTAAGCTGACAAAACAGCACAGCCTGAATGCCTAAGTCCAGCCCTAATGCCGAAGATCAGAACCACCGAGAACCCGAAACTCCAGAAACCTCGAAACCTTTAAGCCCCCTTCCCTACCCTGAACAACCTGAACTTCCACAACCCTGATGCAACTTGAACATGAGTTTAACCGGGGCCCAGGCATCTCCAACAGGACCTGCCATGGCTCTCGGAGCCTCCAAGAAATTGAGCAGATGTCGCTGGGCTGGCTGCTTTTATTGAGGTGGGTGTTTCGAATTGTCCAGTTTAGGGGCTCTTCAGGCATACATACATACTTACATTCCTTTATAGCCGAATGCATGGGGCCAGGTGCGGGCTTCGTTTTCGGATTCCGGCGTAGGGTTGAAGTTCCAGGGCTTCGGATCCAAGTACAATTAATGTCTCAAGTTCGGAGCTTCAAGGCTTCAAGGCATTAGAGGATCGGGGACTTGGGCTTCAGGGTTGGGTGCTTGGGTTTCTTTGGGCTCAGGCTTTGCATTTAAGGCTTTCGGGTTCCGAGCGTGGGGATAAGGTCTTGCATAAAAACCAAAGCACCTCAAAACATCCCGTGGGAAAACAATGCTTTCCTCAACCCCGAAGTGCTTGAATTCATCAAGGATTTGGGCTCTTGTGCTTTGGCATGATGCTGACGGCCGTAGGTTGGAGGATTGCGCATTTAGGCCAGGTATAGTTCTTTAAACCCTTTCACACCAGCAGCATTGCATGCAAAGTTGTTCCTTGTGCTTCTTCGGGAAGGACTCTCGGGTGCATAGGTTAGCTTTGAACCGCAATAAGACATCCAGAATTCTTCGGGACGAAGATTTGGCCTTTCCGAAGAGCGTGTTACTTGATATGGACTTTGCAGGATTGCGGGGTTTGGTGAGATCAAAAACCCCTCCACCCCCTTGAGTCTCGATCGTTGAAACTTTGGATTTGTTTGGCCCTGCATGACCCTGAAATAGAACCACGACACCCTCTTGCACTTAAGGCTCTGTGGCCGACAGTTTGGCATGGAAACACAGCCCTGCCTCTATCAACACGAAGTCCTAAATAAAGACCCAAACAGACCACAAGCGGGCCTGAATTTGCCCCGCCGGACGTGAGCCACGCGCCCGTGTTTTACGCTGAGCCGAGAGGCCGCATGGATGTAAATGCCCGAAGCCCAAACAGTCTACATATACCCCAGAGCCTCAACACAAAGCGAAGCAAGCCACTTTCTGCGACTGCTACCTCTCTGCTATCTTCGAACGGGTCTTCGGGCCCAAGGGTAGTTTTGGAGGTTCAGGGCTGAGGGTCCAAAGGCTTTCTTTGCCCTGAAGCTCAAGAAGTCGCCTCAAAATCTCAAAGCAACGCTTATGTAGCCCGCGTAGAACCCGTCTAGAACGCTTCAAGGAACCCTGCTAATATTACGGAGTTACTGCCCGGGAACCTTTACCCCCTTGCCACAAGTACTTGCAGGATTTGCTCGGGGGCTCAGTGATCTCTAAGCCCTGGAGCGACTCGCTTCGAGATTGCATTTGTGGATGGCGTCAAGATGTCCGAAGTCCCAATTGGCATTGATGCTTACGAACGTCAAAGGGTTGGCTTCAAGGTTCGAAACTCAGCTTCCCTGTGCTCCCCCGACCCCGCTCAACATCCCTTTTTCGGGTGCCCAAATCCATGCACGGCTGACTCCGGAGAGATGGGTAGACTACTCCCACCTCCCCAACACCAGAGGTCAGTCCGCCTTCCAGCCAGCCAGACATGCGAAGAGTCTGAACACGCTAACATCTCAGTCTTGCAGCTGGAAGCTTCTTTCTACGATACAGCGGCCATCTTGGCACATCAGATTGTGGCTGCTCCAGCCCAGTGCCCCTTCCGTGGCTACTTTCTTGAACTGGTCGCTCCGGGAATCCTCGGACCGGGCTTCGGCTCCAGGGGCGCCGCGCGGGTTGGAAGGGAGCGCTGGCGTCGAACGGCCGATCTGATCGGGTCAGGAAGGAGCGCGAGCCTTTGTCATGCTCCTCTCGCGGCCTGACGGGTGCAGCAAGGGTGTCAAGAACGACGAATATCGTGGTGCTGTTCGTTTCAGAAGGGTACTAACGCTTAGCATCGTCACGCTCATAGCCATGCTACATGACAGTAGTGGTACTTCGCGCGGCTGAGAGTATTGAGAATCCAGCATCTATCGGACCCTAAACTGCATACACCGCAAGAGTTTCAAGAGAACCTGAATCCAACGAGCCTCGAAAGCCTTGGTTAGAGCCGCCCCCATCCGTTTTGGGTAAAGGGCCGTTTAGGGTTTCGGGATCAGGGTTTGGGGTTGGGTGTGAGGTTCAGGGTTGTCTTGGGTACACAGGCCTTAGTAAGCTTACAGGGTTTGGGGTGTAGGGTATTGCAAGTCTTTCAGTGTGGCGGCTTCAGAGCTTTCGGAGTTGGGCGCGCAGAGTCGGGATTGGCATGAAAGGGTACAGATTGGCTTAGACCAAGCGGAAAACCCTCGAATCGAATACAAGCTGCAAAGATATCCAACAAGGGTTTAATTATCCCATTCAAAACAGCTTTGCTCTATCTTGGGGGACGTCCTCCCGACAACGACTTTTCTTCTGCGGAATCAGTCTGTGCCGAAAAAGCCTTCCGGCCAGTGCCAGCCTGTGTCTGTGCCTTGCTACCGGATGCAACTATTTGAGGCTTCGGCAAGTGCGCTCCACTAGCGACAACCTCCCGTACCGACACACATGCAAGGCTCTTGAACCAGCCGGAACCCGTTTGCCTTACCTGCTTCTGGACTTAAATACGTGTCTTCAGTTCTCTTTTTGAGGTAGACGAATGTCCAGATGAACCAGTGATTGAGGACCCGATGGCATATAGAGCTCAAGTCTGCACTTGCAGACGGCCCAGGAACCAAATTGCTGAACCTTTGAAACTGCGAACCCCTGAAGCTAAACGAATCCCAATCCTACTCTCGACCTGCAAACCGAAGCCTTTGAAGTTTTCACCAAGTGTTGGAATAAGCTCGTCAAGGATATGTGCAAAAAGGCATAGGAAAAGACGCTCCCAGAACAACACCATTGAAGAACATGACCTAAGACACTTGTTCCAAGACCATTTGCTTGAAAAGTTAAAGGACAATGGCAGGAATTAGGTTTACCGCACGCCTTTTGAAGCACTCGCTGTCCGCAGGTAAAAGCAGAAGCCTGGACGTTCCGACCCAGTCCCTTGCCGCATCCTGCAGTAACACCCTTTCCACACCAAAACTATGCCGGAGAGTCCAGACTGTTCCACACTAAACCCTCACAACTGATGCAAGGGTCCACCAGGCCGTCTTGTCAGGTACTTGAACTGATCCTGCGAGGTTTGCTTGCCGTCGGACGGTGGGCTGGGACAGAACACACTTTGCTGCTGAAGTGAGGCTGGGATAAAGGAGGATAATTAACACCAGCAGAAGTCGTCGGGATGATTTGCAGTTTGTCCTCTTGGACAGGGCGGAAGCAGGCAGAGCTCGGAGTGTGGGTTGGGACCGAAACCCGCCAGCTGTAATCCTTACTGTGCGAGTCAGTCTCAGTACTCGTTGGTCGTATTGGCAACAGTCGAGTCTGGCCCTAATGAACGCGTTAGGCTTTGAAGTTCTCAGGGTTTGTGCTTCATACCCAAGGGCTTAGGGTGGCGTCCTTGTTCCCGATGGTCTAGCACCTTGCTATTTGAGCCAACAGCCCCAAACCTGGGGTAACACTGACTGCACAAAAGTTGATGGTCCTTGGCTTCGAAGAATGGCAGTTGCAAATCGTTGCACAAATGGAATAGTTCTTGGTTTCAGGGCATCTTATTCAAGGCATATTAGGAAGAACGCTGCGCACAGACATGGACAACCCAAACTGCACTCAGAGGAAGCCGAGAATTTAATGCGCGAGGTTGTCCCAGTAGTCGCATCCCTGGAGCCCTAGTTTCGTTGCCGACAGCTGGTATCGGAGGACTAAGCAATAGTGCTGTTTTGGCCCTAAACAAGTGCACGAAAACTTATGCCACAAACAATTATTTTCTACATTGCACGTAGAAACCTGCACTCGCCGTGTGGAAAACGAACCCGTCCTTCAGCGCGGTGCCAAGCACACAGCGCCTCCGTGTGAGATACGCTCCTTCGGGAGGGTCGAGGTCCCAAGTTGCCAACAAAACAATTTGGGACTCACGTCTGTTGGACCCTGAAGGAACTGCGCTAGATAACTACATAAGTCTCTCGGGCTGTTTTGAGCCTTGGGGTTGACGAGGGTGTGGACGTTTCAATCAGCACAGCCCTCGCAGGAACTCGCAGGAACTACAATGAACTACACCATGCAGGCCAGACAACGACGAAGCACTGGCCATCGACGCAGGCATGATTGAGTCATCAGACCGGAACCGGCACTAAGAAAAATACAGTCAAACCCTGCATGACAAAGACCATTGACCTGTAAACAAAGGCACAGGACAGGAAAAGCACACAGGTGCTTATATAGCAAGTAGCCAGCCTTATCCATGCCCTTCAGACAAGGAAAGTCGCCGCCTTGCACTCCTGCAGCGGAGGGGGCTGTATAGAAGGGAGTGGTAAGAGTTCCTACAGGTTTCAGATTTCAGTATGTAGAAGTACCAAGGCTAGACTTCTCACGACTAGGTTCTTGTTCAGAGAGGGCTGCATGTATGTATGCACGGATAGATGGAAGGATGGATGTATGCATGCGTGCATGTATACATGTATGTCTTTGGCTCATTCAGCTGCTTTAGCTTGACGCTTGATACAAACAGCCGGAATAAAATGACGGGTAACACTGGACTTCCGGTCTCGGTGAATGTAGTCCCTAGGCTTCCCAGACAACGCACACATGGACTGGAGGGTCTGGATCTAGGATTTTGTGCAAGTGGTTATGAGACACAGAACGAAGCAGTTGGATGAAGACATTGGGCTCTCCTTCCTACATGTCAGTTTGGAGGTTTGTGTTGCAATCTCAGCAATGTGAAGGCCGCCTGTTCCACGGGCACTCACCATGGCTGGCTTGGTAAGGCAGGCGTTTCGCACTGACTGCTTCGTGTCAGAGAAGTCACCAAGCGGTTATGATGAAGGTGGCAACAAAGACAGTAGTAGAACAGGTTGTGGCGGTGGTGCTGGTGGTGGTCGTCGTCGTAGCCTGGTAGAGGTAGTGGTAATGGTAGTGGTGGTATCAGTAGTAGCAGTAGTAGTAGTAGTAGTAGTAGTAGGAGCAGGAGTAGGAGTAGGAGTAGTAGTAGTAGTAGTAGTAGTAGTAGTAGTAGTAGTAGTAGTAGTAGTAGTAGTTCGTATTAGCAGTAGTAGTGGTAGTAGTAGTGTAAGTAGTAGTAGTAGTAGTAGTAGTAGTAGTAGTAGTAGTAGTAGTAGTAGTAGTAGTAGTAGTAGTAGTAGTAGTAGTAGTAGTAGTAGTAGTAGTAGTAGTAGTAGTAGTAGTAGTAGTAGTAGTAGTGGTGGTGGTAGTGGCAGTAGTAGTAGTAGTAGTAGTAGTAGTAGTAGCAGCAGCAGTAGCAGCGGCAGCAGCAGCAGCAGCAGTAATAGAGTACTACTATGAAGACGGCGACAACTTCTACTACTTACTTCTACTACGACTATGTCGACGACGACTACAACCACTACTCCTACTGCGATTAACGGTACTGATGCTACCTACTATTTCTACTGCCGTGGATGTCGTTGTTGTCTTAGCATCGAAGGCTGAAACTTTCGGATTGCAACCCTCACCTTTCCAGAGATTCGTAGGCTGATGCAGCCCTTCCACCCGCTAAGCATGCCGATCGCTTCAAACCCGGAGTTAAACCCAAAACGCGTGATCCCAAAGTCCCGGCCCTGAACCTCGCAAGCCGAAAGTAGAGTTAGTTAGCCCGAAGACCCAAACCCTCAAACCCTTAAACCCTGAACCTAGCCCTAGACCCGGAGGCTTGTGCAGGTCAATGGCTTCTGTCCCAATTTCCCTCCCGGCACGGCCTTGCAAATCAGCTCCGGGGCCTGTCTGGCTTTCATATGCTGCAGACCCCACGGATCATCATCATCATCATCATCAGCATCATCATCATCATCATCACCTGTTTATGTAAATAAACAAGTGTTTTTATGTACATATATATATATATATATATGTATGTATGCATTACAATATCTATTTCTATGTACATGTATACACACATGATAGGGTTGGCAGTGATCACGTTCATCGTATCTCTGTCTACTTTTCCTTGCAGCTTGAGTTCCTAAATGATCTAGCATGATGCTCGTGTTCTGAATTAACATTACTACGTGCTATGGGCCCAAGAAGCGTGCATCGTCTCGGTCCTTTAGCTCAAATCCTCACATCTACTCTGTCGCGGCGATTCAGCTTTGAGGACCGATACGGAGTTGCCAGGCCCCCTTTGGTGTAGTTTGGTCAAAATGTGAAACACTTATTTAACCAACGAGGACTCAAAAGAACGACGGACGTTCAATCTTGAGGGCTGCGGGTTGAAGCTTATGGGTGTTTGGATTTGCAGGATGCAGCTTCAAAATTCGCGGAGCCAGTTCAGGCACGACCTTCTACAAGTAGCTGCTTCGTTGCTCGGTTGCTGCAAGCTGGAACAGCCACTGCACCCTCGCCGATGAAGGCCGTAAGATCCTTGCCCGGAAAAGCACCCGACTCAAGCCAGAAACTAGCAGCTCCAAGGCGTGCTTTGACACAAATCACCTCACGTTCCGTCTTACCGTTCCCCTTCTTGCACCCTGAAGAAGGATCTTTGGAACAGCTTTAGGGCTGAGGGTTTGCGGTTTAGGATTGCCATGAACTCTCTATCAACCGGGCTGAGTTGAAGGCTGGGGTGTTTTGATCCAAGCCAAGATTTGGGACTGATGGTTTCTAAGGCTTACCTCGGACTAGTGCCATCTATTCTCCAGAAGATGGTACTTCTAGGCATGGACCAAGAAGCTATAGGGCGCTTTTGTTAGCGCAAAATCGCCTCCCCAGGCAGCATCAAATTTTTACCCCATGCCGATACCTGACCCCCGGCTCTGGACCCTTAACCTTAAATCATGAACCTTAAGACTCTAGACTCTAGACCCCTAAAAGCCCTGAACGTCAATCTGAAATCCCAGACTCTCAAACCTGAGCCCTTAATTCTACATGCCCCAAAAATCCGGAACCCCAAAATCGAAGCGCCTCCTCCCACTCGCTCTGCCAGGTGTCCTTGTAGTAGGACCTGGAGCAAAACATGGTCTGGTCTGGGGTTCGGGGGGTTCGAGCTTAGCGTGCCGGGATGGAGAGGTTCGGGTTTCTGGGCTCACCTTCCAGTCCTACAGCCGAAAACTTCAAGACGCTGGAACCTCTAAAAAATCTCTGAACCCTAAATCTCTGAGCCGAGTACCAGAAGCTCTAGCCTAGAACCTCCAGTGA